TTATTTATCTAATTATTTACTTTTAGCTAGCCTAATACTTTATTTCTAAAAATATTAATTATAATTAGTATAAAAGTAATACTAAAGATCTAGCTATTACTAAAGCTTTAAATAGCGAATTCTATTTTAGTAAAGAATATCGGAATATTAGCTATATTTTTCTTATAAATTATAAAAAGGCCGGAACTTTTAGTAAGAAGTTCTTTAAAGATATTAATTACTTTTTTATTTCTAATAAATTTGAGCCGGAAGTAACTAAGAAATTAGGCAAGTATTTACTAAAGATAATAGAAAGAAAAACTTCAAGTATAATTTATTTAACTAGATAAATAAATGCCTTTAGCTAGGTAATTTATAAGTCTAGAATTATAGGAAAGTATTAATTCTCGGATAATATATAAGTTAAAGAATAGCTTAATAATAATTTGCTACTTAATAGGCCTTTTATTATAATTCTAATAAGTCTAGTTATTATTAAGAATAGAATATATAAAAATAAAATCTCTTATAAGATTATTAAAGCCTCTTATTTAGAACTTTCTCTTTTTATTAAAGATTAATTTAAGAATATTATAAATAATATAAAATTTAAAGAAGCTATTTATTTAGAATATATTAGTATAATTTATAATATAATTCACTATAATAAGCTTTCTTAATATCTTATAATAAAGGCGGAAATTAAGTAATAATTAAAGATAAATACTAACTAATATAAAGAATTATATCGGATTTAGTATAAGAATATAGTTAAGCGAGTTTGAATTACTTTTAAATAAGTTCGGGAATATAAAATAAGACTATTTAAGAGTAATAAGTCTTATTTTAGGTATATAAAAAAGGAATTAGATTAGCTAATAAAAGAAAATTCTAATTATTTTATTATTTTAGACTCTAAATAGGATCTTTCTATTATTTTTAGTATTTAGAGAATAAGTATAAATAAATAGAGAGTTAGATATAGTATAACAGGCCATATTTATTAAAAATTATATTATTTTAGTAGTTTTAAGATTTAGATTATTAGTAAAAGCTATGGCCTTTTATATATAACTTATAGAAATTATATAAAAAAGCTAGTTTTTTTATAGTTCTAGAAAATAATTCTTTATAAGTATTGAATTAATTAAGCTTTTATATACTATATACTATTTATACTTTATTATTTATACTTTTAATTTATTATTTTACTATTAAGTTATATTTTATATTCTAGTATATTTTATATAGGTTTTTATCTTATTATAGTTTTCTTCCTATAATATATATAGGACTTATAAAATTATAAAATAGGATTTAGGAATAATAATTAGATTATTAGCTTATAAATATCTATTATTCTAGAATTTAATTAAAAAGTAATCTTTATTTAAGGTTCTTTAATTTTCGGATTTTTTAAAAAATTTCTAATATATTATAAATATATATTTATAAAAATATAAATACTTATTTTCCCCAAAAAATCTAAAGCTTTTTATTTTTATTATTTTAGAATTTATTACTTATATTTTTAAAGTTCTATTATTTTAATAATACTTATATTTCTAATAATTTTAGATTAGTTTATTTAAAATTCTTTATAAAATTAAAAGAAATAAACTTTAAATATTATTATAAATATAGTATTTAAGGCTTAAAAAGTAAAATAAAAGATTTCTTATAAAAATAATTTAAAGCTAAGAAAGAAAAAACTAGAATATATATATATTATAATATATTAGTTTTAAAAGAATTTAGTTTTCTAAATATTTCTAATATATTTCAAATATATTTCTCTAATAAGGTAATTATATTATATATATTTAGAAAATATTTAATATTTAATTAGATATCTCAAATATTAGATATTTGGAAATTATAATATAAAATATATAAAATCTCGAAATTCTATTATAAAAGAATTAGAAATTACCTTATTTATTATTTAATAAGTTTTTATATTATTATAAAATACTTTAGGTTTTTATAATTTATTTAAATCTCAAACTAGTAAATATCTTTTAGTTCTATTTTCTGTTTTTTTTAAATAATAAATAATTATAAATATTTCCTTATTATAGATTTTATAATTATATTTTATATAATTTATTTTTTTTCGAAAAAAATATATAGAATTATAAAATATTTTCTTTATTAATTTATATAAAAATATTATTTATATTTTATTTAAAAGAATTTATTTCAAGAATTATTTTCTAATTATAATTAAATTATATTAATATTATTAGAATAGCTATATTACGAATTTCCTAGTTATATAACTAGTTATATAAATTTATATTATAAATATAACTCGACTAGTAAACTAGTTCTTATTAAGCTTAGTAGATTTAGGAATTATATATTAATATTATAATATTATAATTCTTATTTCTAAATAATAACTATTTTACTAACTTATATAAATAATATTCTATAATTATATAATAGTATTATATATTTCTAATAAACTAATACTAATTAGTTTATATATATAAATTAGAAAGAATTAAGTTATACTTATCCAAAATTTAGTTATTCAGAAATAAAACTATTATTTATAATTCAGTTATATAAATAGGAAAGATATTTAATTTTACTAAAGTCTAATTATATTATACTAAAAGAAAAAAGATTTATTAGTTCTATTATTTATAATTTAATTATATAAGTAAGAAAAATACTTAATTTTACTAAGTATTAAAATAGTTAGCTATTTAACTATTCTATTTTATTTTTTATTTAACTCTTATAAAACTCTTTTAAAAACTATTTTCTTTTAAATCCCTGGGGCTTTTAAGCTTTAGAACTATTAAATCCTCTCGAAATCTTAATATTTTACTTCTTAAATTTCACTTCCTAAATTTCTTGTTATAAACGAAATTTTTATCTCGAATATAATACCTTCTATAAACTATATATCTTATAAACTACTTTTTTCTTTATAAATCTCAACTATTTTCCTTTTTATAAATCTATTCTTCTTATAAAATATTATATCTTAAACTAGATATAAGCTTATAAAATATAAAATAATAGAATATACTATAGTAAATAATTCTTTTATTAGATTTATCTAAATTAATTACTCTATAAATAATAATAATTACAAGAAATTAGTAAAAAAATAAAGATATGAAATTAATCTAAACTTTACTAAAATAAATAAAATAACTAAATTTCTAAATACTAAAATATTTTAATATATTCTTTATAAAATAATTAATAATAACTTCTAGAAATTATTTAGATATAACTTCAAGGACTTTATTTATTAAAGAAACTTTAATAAACTTGAATTTAAGGAAATATAATATTTATATAAAATTCTTTAATATAGGAATATATTTATATAATAGAATAATAGTACTAATATTATTATAAATACTTTATATATTATTATAAAAGAAAATAAATAGTATATATAATTAAATAAAGATATATTAATAGCCAGACCAGATTTTATAAAAGAACTAATTCTATTAGACTTTATTACTTTTATAAAAAACAAATACCTAGAACCCATTATTTTTAATATTTCTATATTATTATTACTTTCTCTATTATTATTTTTACTATTATATCTTATATTTCTATTAGATTTATATACTAGTATAAGAGTTCTAGAAATAAATAGTATATTTCTATTATTATTATTATTATTATAACTATATCTAAATAATCCCTAATTTCTTTTAATTATAAGACTTATTAAGGAAGTTACTAAGATTTATATTAAAAAATAAAAGTATAATAGATTTAATAATAATTTTAATTATAAACTTACTATTTTCCTTAATATTTACTAATATATAAAGCTTTTATAAAAAGTACTAATATAAGCTTTTCTTATTATACTAAAGGAACTAGTTTAAAACTACTTTTATAATAATTAGCTCCTTTAATATATATATAAAAAGGCTTATATTAATATCTATAGCTTTTTTTAAAGGCCCTGAATTCGAATATCGAAACTTAAATAAATAAAATACTACTATATTAGTTTCTATAATAGCTAAATTCCAGGAAAAGATAATATTTAAAACTATTTATTTACTAATTAATAAATTATATTAACTATAATACGGTTTTATACTTAATTTATAAAAACCGAATTCTTTTATAATAAGATTATTACCTTTTACTAAGATTTCCGGATATATAGATATATAATCTCAGACTCTCTTATAAATCTCGACTAACTTATTAATAAGCTCTAGTTATCTATTACTATATATAAAAGCAAATAATAAACTAATTCCGAAATACTTTTTGCTAATTAATAATACTACTCTTAGAATCCTCTAAGCTATTATCTCTCCAGAAATCATTAATACGGACCTAGTTATAACTTCGGAACCCGTAATAACTACTCTAAGCCCCGTAATTATAATAATTATATTCCGAAGTTGTATTTTATATATAAGAAACCCGAATACTGCTTATAGAAGCATATACCGGAAGAATAAGAGGCTAAGAAGGCTCGATTTAGAAGTAGAAATATCTATTGGTTCAGATCCCGAAATACCTGCAACTTTAATAAATATTTTAATGCTTATATATAGTATATTACCGAAGCCGAAAGCAAAGAGGGCAATAAGGGCAGTAAGGACGAACTAGTAAATGACGCTTTTGAGGCTTTATTAGCGGAAACGGACAAAGAAGAGGAATACCACTCAGATTCCTACTTTACTTCAGTCGAGAGCTTTTTAGCCGCTCCTGCCGCTCCTGCTCCACTAATAACTATAGCTAATACCCTCGTAGATAACCTCACTTCCCTTTCCCTTATATACCAGATGACAGGCGAAAACCACGCCTTGGAGCCCATTGAACCCTCAATGGAAGACGCCCTTACCTTTAATACCCTCACTTCATCTCAATCGACTACCACCCTCGTTTCACCTCAATCGATCCCTTTTACCAGTGGCTGTCTAGCTTACACCCTCTCTTTACCTTCTTCGATTCCTGCTACCGGATTCGGCCAATTCCATACCCTGCAACCTACCGATGGATGCACTACATCCACCTATACCCTCGCTAAATTCGGACGATTCCAAGGTTTACAGCGAACAGGAGTGGGTTGAACGCGAATGGGCATACTAAATGGGAGGAATGGGTATACTAGGAATGGGAGGAATGGATACATTAGTGGAAAATGGGGCATACGGGGGGAAATGGGAATATTGGATGGGAATATTGAACGGGAGGGACACTGAGCGTTTGGGAGGTTTGGGACTAGGCCCAATTAGGAAATTAGTATGCGATGGGAGGGAAGCACTGTTTTTGGCGTTTTTAGAGAGGTTCCAGTGTCGGAATAGCTGCACTGCGAATTTCCTGGTCATGTGACTAGTCATGTGAGCTCGCATCGCAGGCGTGACTCGACCGGTAGACTAGTCCCCATTAGGCTTAGCAGATTTAGGGATCGCATATCAATACCACGATATTGCGATTCTTACTTCTGAATAATAACCACTTCACTAACTTACACAAATAGCATTCCATGATTATATAACGGTACTATGCATTCCTAGTAAACCGACAAGTATTAAAGCCAAAATAAATATCTTTTTAAGCTTCTAGAAAATAGCTTCTATTTTATTTATTTATAATAATACTCGGTTTTTATATAAGATTAAATAGTAATTAAATAATCTCTAAGAATTCTCGAATAAAATATTAGTAAAAATTAGTAAATTCTAAGAAATTTTATATATCTTTTACTAATTTCGGGACTTTTTAACTTAAAATAGCTTTAATTTTTATTAGATTTATATAAATACTTTTTCTGGCTCTTTATAATAAACTTTAAATATTTTATTAACTTAATTTCAAATTTATATTTATTAATATCTAGCTATAAATCTATTTCTTAAAATTATTAAAGAATCTTTTATATATATTTATAGTATTCTTTTTTTTAATTCTAATAAATAAAATAGAACTTATTTAGGAAGTTTTTAAGAATTTAATTAATATATTTCTAAAATATATTTAAAGTATTTATTAGATTAAAAGAAATTACTAATTATTTATAAAGTTTATATTTTATATAAAAGGCTTTTTTTTAAAAAAATATAAATCTTATAAAAAGCTATTATAATATTAAGTTTTATAAACTATTTTGCTTTTCTAATATTTTAAAGAATCTTATAAATTAGTAAAAGCAAATACTAGTTCTTTTTTATAAGCTTATTTAGGCTCTAGTAATTTATATAAAACCGTAATTCCTTATTAGATTTCTATATAAAAAGAATAGAAATAGTAATAAGAAAGTAATTTATTTAATAGTTTTATAAATATCTTTTATAATACTAGAAGCTTATTTCGAGATATATTATATAGCGGGTCTTATAATATAACGAGTTCTTTTTTATTAACTTCTTTTAATTTAATCTAATAATTAATTTCTTTGTCCTAAATAAATAATAACTTTTTTATTTTAATTAAATAAAATGCTTTTTAGAAATTCTTATATTATTTCAGAAGCTTTATATAAGAATTGGTTTTTTTTTCGAATTAGGGCTTTTTAAATATTTATTAGACTAACTAAGAATATTTTTATATTTTTATTTTTATTTTTCTTTATTAGATAAAAAAATAAAGCTATTAAAACCTATATATAATCTATTATTTATAGACTAAAAATTAAAATTTTATTTATTTTATATTAAAATTTTTAATAATAAAATAAATAGTTTTAATCTCGAATTATAGATTTATATATCTTATAAATAAAGCTATTATATATCTAAAATTATATTTAAATTAAAGATTTTAGGAACTATATAGAAAACAAGATAAGATTTATATTAAATACTATTATTTCTCTAATTATATCTTGTATTACTTTATTAAAAGCCTTTATTTATTTAGAAATAATTAATATATATTAAAAATTATATTAATTAGTAAAGCAAGAATTAATTATTTTATATAATATATATCTAGTATTAATAAAAATTTATATAAAATATTCTTTATTAACTATTACTAATATAAAAAAAGAAAGCCTAATTATATTTTTCCGAAATTACTTCTAAATTTATTAATCTAAATTTATTTCTATATATTTCTAATAATAATTTTTATTAAAAGCTAGTTTTTTCCTAAATTAAATAAACTCGAGTTTTTTTTATTTTTATTATTATTTTTATTCGAGGTATTAATATTCTTTTCCCGAACTACTTTTATTTTTTTTAAAGCTATTTTTAATATTTTTATATTTTTTGTTTTATTTTTAGCTATTTCTCTTTTTTTATTTTTTTTATTTACTAGTTTAAGAAAAAAGAACCCGAATAGAGCTTTATTTAATATAAAATAATTATTTTAATTATATTAAAAATAAAGTATTATAGTTATTATAATATATAATACTAGTAGGAATTAGACTAGAGCTAGTAAAGTATCTGGTATCTAAAAGAGATATCTAATATCTAAATAAGGTATCTATAGTTACCTAATTATTATATATAACCCCGAGCTTAAGCTAGTATATAGGCCCATATATAGCTTGTAATTATTTAGATCCGAGGCTTCTTTGAGATTCTCTTTTTTCTTTAGCTTTAAATTATTAAAATAGAAATAGTCTAACTATATTTTCTAGGCCCAAGATCTTATACTTATAATATAATTTAAAGCTTACCTATTTCTTAATTCTATAAAGGATTTAAATAATACTTACCTAATTAGTTTTTAATAAATATAAATATAATATATTATAGTTATTCTTATACTAGTTAACTAATATTAAAATAAAAGAAAGCCCTAGAATAACTAGATAAGAAAGCCCTAAACTAGCTAGGTAAATAAATAGGCTAGTAACTTTATTACTAGATAAAGATTTATAAGAAAGCAAGTCCCGAAATAATTAGACAAATTAGAAGAAGCTATAATATAAGATATTACTAGTATATTACTAAAAGATAAACTAGAGCCTCTTATTAAGTTTTCTAAAAAGTCCGAATATCTTATTAATACTTATAATAAGAGAAATACTTTCTTTTAGAAAACTAAGAAAAAAGAGGAACCTATTTTATTAAAGGCAAATTTCCAAGAATTACTTCGGAGCTCAGAGGCTTTATATAAGGAAATTATTAAGCTAATTCTAAAGATATATAATATTCTTACCTATAGCAAGAATTATTATAATTAGCTAAAAGAAACTAAGTAAGTCTTATAAAAGAATAAAGCTATTATTAAAAAGCTTATTATATAACCTATAGAAATAACCGGTTCTTTTATTTTAGAAAATAAATATTTAGTTAAATTTCCTAATTCTTTTATTTTTAAAAACATAATTAAGAATAGTATTATCTTTAATAATTAGTTAGTTCAGATTAAGAACAAGTTCTATAATAACTCTAATATTTACTAGATAAAAAACCTTAAGATTATCTATATTTTTGGCTATATAAATAGTTATATTTTTATATTAATTTTTTTTTTTACCTAAATTAGGATAATTAATATATATATAAAACTATTAGAGAACTATATACTTACCTAAAAGAATTATATAATAACTTAAATAAGAAATATAATACTCGATAAGCCTTTAAAAAGCTATTTATAAAAAAGAGCTAGATTTTTTAGGAATTTTATATTCTATTTCTAAAATATATAATAGACGAAAATATTAACTTATAGAACCTTAAGAATAACCTAAATAATAAGCTTACTTAGAAGCTCTAAAAAGCTATAGCTATATATTATAATAACCCGGCTATTTATATTATAAATAACTAGTAAATCCGAGCTTATTATAAAAAGAAAAACTAGGTATTTAAGAAAGCTAATAAAGATATAAATAAGTCAAGTTCAGAAGGCATTTCTTATATAAAGCCTGCTTCTAAGACTCTAGTAATAAATAAGCCTATTATTCTAAAGCCCGAATTCTTAGATCTCAAGTACTATAACTATAATAAATTTAGTTATATATCTAGGAACTATTTAAAGCCTAAGATAAAGTATATAAAGTAAGTTTTAGTAACTAAGCTAATAATACTTATTATAAATAAGCTATTTAAGAATATAGAATAGGGAAACGAGAATTCCTAAAGAAAGTCTTCTTTTTAGGGCCATATTATATAAATATAGTAGAAGTTAATTTGAGCTAGCTACTAGGAAATAAAGCATTTATATTTCCTTATATAATTAATAATAATAAATTAGATATTAAGACTTCTTCTTTTATTAATACTAGAATAAACGAATATACTTTTATTAATTTCAAGTTTATAAAAATAATTAAATAATTTCTAGATATTAACCTTATTTAATTAGTATTACCTTATAATATAAGGGAATTTAATAATAAGCAGGCTATATTTATTACTTATTATATTAAGCTTATATTCTTAATTAATAAATAGAAGATTCTAGTACTTATACTAGTTATAAAGCTAGATAAGTATAATATAATTTTGGGATAATAATAGTTTATAAATACTAGTATTCTAATTAATTATAAGAATAGAAAGTTAATCTAGCTAGATAATTAGCCTAGAAAAAAGAATTAGAATAAGGTTCTAATTACTATATATAAGAACTTGAAATCTAGAAAAAGTAACTAGTACTAAAAAAATATAAATAGAAAAAATAAAGCTATAGCTATAAATAAGTTCTAAAGACCTTAGCTTATAAAAAGAAAACCCTTTTATTCTTTTCCTAAGCCGGGTTTAGAAAGCTATATATAGTAAAAGAATTAAGCTTAATATTATAGAAAAATATAAGTAGCCTTAAGAAATATAGAAGTTTTTCTTAAGCTAGAAATAGAAATATTAAAATTATATTATCTAAAAAAAAAGCCATAAGATCTAGTTAAGGCCTATAATTAATATTATAGGTATCTTACTAGCTACTTTCTAGATAAACCTATAAAAAAAGAAGAACCTTTTTTTTATAATATTATTTTTTAAAATTAATAAAGAGCTAGAATTATAATAAGAGAACGAGTTTATTCCGGATAAGTAATAGCTAGAAGAAATAGAGCTATAATAGCTAGTAAGAGTCTTATTAAAGAAATTCAAGGATTTTATAGATATTTTTTTAAAAGAAGTATTAAATATCTTATTTCTATATTAATTATATAATTATAAGATTTAGATTAATAATTCTAAAAGCCTAGAGATCCTAGGGTATTTCCCGCTCTATTAATAATTAACTTATAAGCTATAAAAAATTAAGTATTTCCTTAAAAAGAACCTCTAATAAGGCTTTATTAAGCCAAGCTAGTTTTCTTTTATATCTTTAATTCTCTTTATAAAAAAGACTAATAAAGCTCTCTAATTTTATATTAATTATTATAAGCTAAATAACTTAATATAAAAGAACTATTATTTTCTTTCTCTTATTTATAAGACTCTTATATAGCTAGCTTAAGCCAAGGTCTATATAAAGCTAGATATTTAGTAAGTATTTTATTAAATTTAAATAAATCTAAAATTAGAAAAACTTATAATATTTCATATAAGATATAGGGCCTATAAATATAAGGTTCTTTAGGAAAGCCTAATTAATAGCTCTATTATATATTAGAGATATATAAATAATATTTTCTTTAATTACCTTAATATCTTTTATATAGCTTACTTAAATAATATTCTAATTTACTCGAATAATTTCCTAGAATATAAAAACTATATATAAAAGGTTTTTTAGTAGCTATAGAATACCGGCCTCTAAATAAATATTAAGAAATTAGAGTTTAAGATTATTTATATAAAGTACCTAGGTTTTATTATTTTTACTAGAGATATTAAAGTAAATTTAGATAAGATAATAATTATTAAGAACTAGTAATTACTAAAGATAATTAAAGAAATATAAGGCTTTCTAAGTTTTTATAACTTTTATTAGTATTTTATTATAGAATATAGCTATATAATAAAGCCCCTAATAATAGCCGAATTAGAGGCTACTAAGAAATATTTCCTAGAAAACCTTAATAAGAGTTTTATTATTTCTAGTTAATTATTATTTATAGCCCCTATTCTTTTTATAAGAAAGTTTAATAGAAGTTTATAGTTCTATATTAATTACTAGAAACTTAACCAGATTATTTATAAGAACTATTATTCTCTTTTTCTTATTAATAAGACCTTAGCTAGAATTAGTAAAGCCAAAATCTTTATAAAGCTTAATATTTATTAGGCTTTTTACTAAATTCATATAGATCCCGAATTAAAGAAATTAATAATATTTTATATATATTATAGGATATATAAATATAAGGTTTTATTCTTTAAATTAACTAATAAACTAGTTATTTACTAGTACTATATAAATAATATCCTATTTAATTACCTAAATAACTTTTATATAGCTTATCTAAATAATATTTTTATTTATTCTAATAATAAGTTAGAATATAAACTTTATATAAAAAAAGTTCTTTAGTAATTCTAGAATATAGGCTTATAAATAAATATTAAAAAGCGCAAATTTTATATTATATATATGAAATACCTTGGGTTTATTATCTTTATAAAAAGTATTAAAGTTAATCTTAAGAAAGTTATAATTATAAAGAATTAGAAAGCTTCTTAAACTATAAAAGAAATATAAGTCTTTCTAAAGTTCTATAACTTTTATAGAAGATTTATTTATAACTATAATAAGATTACTAAGCCTTTATTAAATCTTATATATATAAATATTTCCGTTTTATTTAATAAGGCTTATTAGAATACTTTTAAGAAACTTAAAGCCTATCTTATATTATTAGTTCTATTTTATTACTATAACTTAAAATAATAATTAATAATTAAAACTAATATCTCGAATAGTATTATTACTAGTATTTTCTTCTAATAATATAGTAATAAATAATATCTTATAATATTTTTCTTAAAAATAATAGTACTTATAAAATATAATTATAAGATATATAATAAAGAAATACTTATTATTATATAGTTTTTAAATTAATAATACTCGGAATTTTAAGAAACTATCTATTAAATCCAGATTTATATAAATTACTACTTATTAAAATACTTTATAATAATAAAGAAGCTTATAAATAAATAAGCTAAATAGGCTAAAGCCTTAGTTAAATATTACTTTATTATCTAATATAAATTTAGTAAATAGAATATAAAGACTTATATTCTAATATATTAAAATAATAAGATTATCTAATAAAATAAAGTAAAAGAGAAATACTATATTAAAACCTTTCTCTCTTAAAACCAAGTTAACCTAAAAGTATTCTAGAACCTTAGTATTAAAGTTAATTTTCTTTTTATTTTCTAAGATAATAATAATAATCTTAATAAAATAAATAATTTAGTTAAATGAATTCTATAAAATAACCGCAAAGTCCCTTTTTTATAAGCCCTCTATAAGTAGGCTAAACGGGATAATACCGACTTTATTATAAAGAATAAGTTATTACTTTATTATAAATAACTTATAATACTAGAAAAATAATTATATATAAATTTAATTTATAAGGCTTATAATTAAATCTTTATAATATATCCTAGTAAAAATAAAACCTATAAGCTAATATAGCTATAATATTACTAGAAGAATATATAATATAATATTACTTAATATATTTATAATTACTAATTATATAAATAGGTAAATATCCCAAAAAATAAATCCCCTAGTTTACTTTATTCTTTACTAGTTCCGAACTACTCATAATAATATATTATAATAGATTTCAAGTTAATACCTAGCTTAAAATCTGGCTATAATACTATATATATTATAATTAACTAATTAAGTAAGTAAGCTATTTTTATATCTTATTATAAGATAATTATAATAAAGAATATAATAAAGATATATTTCCGAACTATTTATTATTACTATAGCCTTTTAGCCTCTATTATTTCCGATTATAGTTCGTAATTTATATTAGTATTCTAGAAGAAATTTAATAAAATTCTAGATATAAAATTAAAGCTATTAATAGTATATTACTTATAAGCTAATAAATAGACAGAAATCATAAACTAATATATTAATTAATAATTATACCCGTATATTATATATTACTAAAATATCTAAAATAAGTATTTATTAATTATTAATTATATTTAACTTATTTTCTTATATAGCTTTATTAATATATTCTTATATAAACTCCTTAATAGTAGGCTTCTATAAACCTCCTTTAACTAGTTAACTCTAATAACTATATTCCAAAACGAGCTAAGTAATATAAAGGTTTAATAAATTACTAGATAAATAGAGAATACTATAAAAAGAAATAAGAAGAATATAAAATAAATATAAAAGAAAATAAAGAAGTATACTAATACTAAATATTACTTTATAGATTTCAAAATAGAAAACAAGATATATATATTAATAAAGAAATAGAAAACATAATATCCTAGCCGCAAACTAGACTACTAAATAGCCGGGCCTTACCCGATCTTATATTAAGTTAGTAATTCCTATAAGGTCGAATTACCTAAAAGTATTAAAATTTATAATATATTTTCCCCAGACTATTTATATAAAGCTACTAATAATTTATTATCTAGCTAAAAGAACGAATTACTTTTACTAATTCAAGTAATAATAGATTAAGAATATAAAGTATAAAATATTCTAATATTAAAGGCAAAGCGAGAAAAGCTCTTATATAGGGTTAGTTAGATTAGATATAATAAAAACCTTAACTAGTATCTGGCCTCTAATCTGAAATACTTTTCTTATAAGCTATAAGATTACTATTTGACTAATTAATAATAGCCAGGCCTACTAAAAAAGCTAGTTAACTAGATACGAGCCTAAAAGAATAAGATAAAGAACTATAATAAATTAGATAATAATTCTATAATACCTATTTACTTAAGAATAAGCTTTTTTTAAAGAAAAAAGTAATATTATAATTTCATACTTTACTAAACCTAGTATCTAGTATTTAGTATCTAAGCCTAGTATCTAGTATTTAGTATATAAATATCTAGTATCTGGAGTTATATAATAGTTATATATAATAAAGCTAGAGAAAGCTATATTTCAGAAAATTTAGAATACTAAGCCTTATTAGGCCAAGCTATAAGTAAAGAACTATAAATATTTAAAGAACCTTAGCTCGAGACTTTCTTTCTTTCTTAGCTTAGTTTTCTTAATAAATAGTTCTTTTATAAGTGCCTTATTTATGGGCTCCTTTTATAAGTCTATAATATTAGAAAGATTTTCTTTAATTTTTAATAATATTTCAAATTAATATAATAGCCGGTGCCCCTCCCACGCACTTCGCTTGTGGTCGGAATAAGCAAGTATCTCGTTTAACCAAGTGTCCCATCGAGATTTTAGCTAATTCTTGATTTTTGGTATATATTATATATAAAATCAAGCATATTTGCAATGGAATTTAAGGATACTAGTTATAAAAAATACAAAGCTATCTAGAACTATATAAAATCGGTATTCGCTTATATACTATTAATTGAGCCCGTATTACTTTCCATATCTAAAGAGTCTGGAATAATAAGGGGGAATAGACTTGAGTCTATATACTCTTCTATTCTCTTCTTTTAATACTTCTATTTAGTAGTATTAATTACTATATCCTTATCCCCGTTAATATTAATAAAGGTATTTGGTACCTCTAGCCGATCGGGGGCTAGATTACTAAGGGATGCCATAAGCTAGCGAACTACGAACTATAAATCAGGGTAAAAGTCCTTCTTATAGCAAGCTCGTTTAATAATTATAGGGTATTTATTAGGTTCGCAAATTGGTACTATATCCTCTACTGGAATTAGCTTATTCTTTAGTTAATACTTTACGATTCTAGCTAGTCTAGCTTTCTTATCCTTGCGAGCTTGAATTCCGGCGTCCTTAAGCTGATTTTTAGCTCGATTTACGGTAGTAGTAAGCTTCTTTTTAGCCTTATAAAGAGCTTCTCTATTATCTTTCTCTTTCTTTTCTTTAATCTCTATATAAAGCTCTGCTATACTAGCAGATAGCCCTCCCTTATATAAGCTTTTACAGGACTTCGCCTTGTAATTATACTTCTTATAAAGCTTTATTTGGAGAGCCTAGTACTCTATTATCTGGAGATGACTTTTTTATAGTTAGATATTAACCTTTTTGACTATAGCTATCCAAGTTTCCTTCGAATTTTCTGAAAAAGTAATAGGATTATAATCTGCAAGTACTCTAAGAATTACGGCTATATTCTATACTTTATCGGGGCAAGTAAGTAATAAAGGGAGAAGATCTAAGCTCTCCTCTTCCTTAACCTCCTTAATTAATCTCTTCTTCTTTCCGTATAATCGTATATTTTTAATTCCAGCTTTATAACTAACGGGCCATATATTAGAGCTCTTAAAGGCGTTCTTAATTATATATTTTTGTATTATTTATATATAAATCAGGGTAAGATTACGGAAAAAGGAGGTAATTATATATTTAAAATCGAGAGAACGGAGGGCCGTATAAATTACTATTTTATAATAGTGCTTTTAGGGACGGAATATACTAATATTAAGTAGTTAAAAGATATATATTAAGTAAGAGGGAAACTAGAATAGCTTAATATTATATTTCCCGGCCTTTAATTAAAATAGTTTATAGATATATGATTCGTAACTATCTAGGAGGAGGATTTTCCAAGGTTTGTCTGGCCTAGCTCTTAAATACTTAATTAAATAATTAAGATATTTTATAGCTATATCGTTATTTATATATCTAGTAGGTATATACTTAATATACTCTATCCCGATTAGGTTTTCTAATATCCAATTATCTATAATCTTCTTCCCAGAAGTAATTATAAATAGTAAAAGAGGTTTATAATTATCCGTATAAATAGTCTCGATTATTATAACTAATTTGCAATTCTCAGGGCTAGCCATATATAGCTCTTTTATCTCTATAAGTATAATTATATACTTACTAGTAGGGTAACTAATATATACTCCTGACTTGTCTATATTTAGAATATTCTTCCCCTTTATAATATAAAGCTTCTCTAGAATATTATAATATTTCTGAAACTATATTCTAATATCCTCTTCTATATAGGACTCGAGTTATATATATATAATTAGCTTCGTTTTAATTATATAAAGTATCTTATAGTTCCGTATCCAGAGGCTAAACCAAATAGCCAAAGGAGGTGGTTTTGGGGGAGATTTAGCCTAATTATATTAGATATATTATTAGATTTAAAAGAAGTACTTATAGCCTTTAAGTAGGTAATTACGGCTTAAACTATCTAATATATAGTACCCAAACCAGCCTCCTATTACTTATAGCAATATTGCCGAATCGCCTCCTCTTATACCTCGTTTAGGATCTTATTATTACTACTATATATATTATAGAGTTCTTGGGAGTTTCTTTTCTTATTATACTTATAGAGTACCGATTTTCGTAAAGAAGCTTCCTTGATATAATATATCCTTATAGTAGTAATTACTGAATTATTATTATTCTCAAGGTACTATTTATAGGCCTTATTAAAGATACGGTAGTAATTAGCTTCCGTAATATATGAATAATAGAAATACTTCTAGGATATCTCCCTAATTCTAGTAGAATTAAATAAAGGTATA